TTTCATCTTGTTGAACTCAGACCAATTCTCCAATTTGTCAAGGTTGTTTTGAATTCTAATCCTGTTCTCCAAAGGTCTTGCATCACCTGCCAGCTTGGTGTCATCTGCAAATTTTATAAGCACACTCTCCAATCTATTATCCAAGTCATTTATGACAATAATGAATGGTACCAGACCCAGGCCTGACCCTGTGGGGCCTACTACATACACCCTCCCAGTTTGACAGCAAACCATTAATAACTATTCTTTCAACCAGTTGTGCACCCACCTTATAGTAATTTCATCTAGACCATATTTCCCCTCGTTTGCTTATGAGACCATCATGTGGGGCTGTGTCAACAACCTTAATAAATTCAAGATATACCACATCTATGCTTCCTCCCTATCCCCTGGCCAGTATCCCTCTCAAAGAAGGAAATTAGGTTGTTTGGCGTGATTTGTTCTTGACAAATCCATGCTGGCGATTCCTTATAACCCTTTATCCTCTAGGTGCTTACAAACTGAATGTTTACTGATTTGTTCCAGTATCTTTTCAGGTACTGAAGTTAGGCTGACTGGTCTATTATTCCCCAGATCCTCTTTGTTCCCCTTTTTAAAGACAGGTGCTATGTTTTCCCTTCTCAAGTCCTCTGGGACCTCACTCGTCCTCCAGAAGTTCTCGAAGATAATTGCTAATGGTTCCAAGATTGCATCACCTAGTTCCTTAAGTACACTAGGATGAATTTCATGAGGCCTGCCAATTTGAATACATCTAACTTATCCAAATATTCCTTAACCTCTTCTTTCCCTATTTTGGCTTGTGTTCCTTCCCTCTGGTTGTTAATATTAATTGCATTGTGCATCTGGTCACCATTAACCTTTTTAGTGAAGACTGAAACAAAATTGGCATTAAATACCTCAGCTTTCTTGAGGTTATCAGTAGTTAGCAATCCTCCCCCACTAAGTAGAGGACCTACACTTTCCTTTGTCTTTCTCTTGCTTCTAATGTATTTAAAGAACCTCTTCTTATGCTTTTATGTCCCTTGCTCGGTGTAACCCATTTTGTGCCTTAGCGTTTCTGATTTTGTCCCTACATGCTTATCTTTGAGAAGTCATGGAAGACGGGAGAGATTCCAGAAGACTGGAAAAGGGAAAATCTAGTGCCCATCTATAAAAAGGGAAATAAGGACAACGTGGGGAATTACAGACCAGTCAGCTTAACTTCTGTACCCGGAAAGATAATGGCGCAAATAATTAAGCAATCCATTTCCAAACATCTAGAAGATGCTAAGGTGATAAGTAACAGTCAGCATGGATTTGTCAAGAACAAATCATGTCAAAGCAACCCGATAGCTTTCTTTAACAGGGTAACAAGCCTTGTGGATAGGGGGAAGTGGTAGATGTGGTATATCTTGACTTTAGTAAAGCTTTTGATACTGTCTCGCATGACCTTCTCATAAATAAACTAGGGAAATGCAACCTAGATGGAGCTACTATAAGGTGAGTGCAAAACTGGTGGGAAAACGGTTCCCAAAGAGTAGTTATCAGTGGTTCACAGTCATGCTGGACGGACATAACGAGTGGGGTCCCGCAGGGATCAGTTCGGGGTCCAGTTCTGTTCAATACCTTCATCAATGATTTAGATAATGGCATAGAGAGTGCACTGATAAAGTTTGCGGACGATACCAAGCTGGGAGGGGTTGCAAGTGCTTTGGAGGATAGGATTTAAATTCAAAATGATCTGGGCAAACTGGAGACATGGTCTGAAGTCAATAGGCTGAAATTCAATAAGGACAAATGAAAGTACTCCATTTAGGAAGGAACAATCAGTTGCACACATACAAAATGGGAAATGACTGGCTAGGAAGGAGTACAGTGGAAAGGGATCTGGGGGTCATAGTGGACCACAAACTAAATATGAGTCAACAGTGTAACGCTGTTGCAAAAAAAGTGAACATCATTCTGGGATGTATTAGCAGGAGTGTTGTAAGCAAGACACGAGAAGTAATTCTTCCACTCTACTCCGCGCTGATTAGGCCTCAACTGGAGTATTGTGTCCAGTTCTGGACGACACATGTCACGAAGGATGTGGACAGATTGGAAAGAGTCCAGAGAGGAGCAACAAAAAGGTCTAGAAAACATGACCTATGAGGAAAGATTGACAAAATTGGGTTTGTTTAGTCTGGAGAAGAGAAGACTGAGAGGAGACATGATAACAGTTTTCAAGTACATAAAACGTTGTTACAAGGAGGAAGAAGAAAAATTGTTGTTCTTAACCTCTGAGGATAGGCCAAGAAGCAATGGGCTTAGGTTGGACATTAGGAAAAATTTTCCTGTCAGGGTGGTTAAGCACTGGAATAAATTGCCTGGGGAGGTTGTGGAATCTCCATCATTGGAGACTTTTAAGAGCAGGTTAGACAAACACCTGTCAGGAATGGTCTAGATAATTAGTCCTGCCATGAGTGCAGGGGACTGGACTAGATGACCTCTCCAGGTCCCTTCCAGTTCTATGATTCTATGCTTGTGCTATTCTTTTATAATCCGCTTTAGCAATTCATCCCTGTTTCCACTTTTTGTAGGATTCCCAGTTAACATCCCCTATGACACACCCCAAGGCTCCCGCCACACCCAGCCCCTTTTCTCACCTCACCAGACCAGGCAGCAGAAGGGCCAGGGCTCTCACCTTGGGTTGCTGACACCCGGACTCTGCCACTGCAATCACATGGGGGTCGCTCTTGGGGGGCAGTGTATCTATGACAGCGCAGGCCGCTGAACCCCTCAGCACATACTGCAACCGAAGAGGAGAGGATGCTCAGCGGACCGCTGCAGGCCATAGGCTGGGCGAACAGATCTAGCCCTTGGCACCCACCCAGCCCCCTGACAGCCTTCACAGAGCGGAGCAAGCGTTGCACAAATGGGCTAACAGACTCATCCTACACTGGCACCGGGACAAAGGGCATGCTGGGCCTGACTTGCACCCCTGTTGCAATGGCCCCATGGGGCTTTGTAGAGGTACAGAATCAGCAGGGCATAGGACTTCCCCCAGCCATGCCTCCTTCCTCTCCCTCCCCCCAATCCCCAGCTCCCTCCCTGTCTCTGCCCTCCTCCCGCCCTGTCTCTGCCCTGCCCCCAGCCTGCCCTGGAGCACGCCCTGTGCCAGAGGCTGGGATACAGGCAATGCAGCGGCCCCCCTGCACCAGGCTTATTCCCAGTTTACCTGCTCTGCAGCCCAACAGTGAAGCTAGGGCTGGGGGGAAACTGAGGCACTGATTGATGGGCTTGACTGACCCAAGTCATACAGCAGATCAGTGGCAGAGCTAGAACTAGAACCCAGGTCTGCTGAGTCCCCAGGCCCGCTGCTCCCCCACCCTGCTCCAACACCCGGGCACTCCCCTTGCCTGGGTGCCAGTGACTCGGCAAGGAGCCAGGCAGGGTAGGATCAGGCCCGCATTGCCTTGCTCTCCGCACGAGGCCATGCTACCGCTTTGCAGCTATGAGGATGGGAGGATCTGCTCTTACTGGTCCATATGTAGAGTGTGGAGTTGGGTCGGGAGATGATGCCAGCCTTGGAGCTGATCAGGTAGACGCCTGTCCCAGCCTGCAGAACGGCTGCGCACACACTCCTCTCACGGAGGCACTCCTGCTTGGCCTGTTCCAGGCTCTCGGCAGAGGGGTGCAGGAATGCTGGGTCTCCCACCACGCCCCGGCCAGGCTGCTTCACAAACCACTCGGTAGCTGGGGGAAGCAGAGGGTGAAAAACAATTTCTCTGGGTCTCTCGTGAAACACAGATACACAGCTGCGAGCCATGGCCTCGCTTCCACTCCGCACAGCCAGCGAATGCCCTGCACTAGCCCCTCGCCGCCCCAGCGCCATGGTGCTGCTGGACGTGACGGTCTCGCTGCAGGCTGGGCAGTGCACATGACAATGACCAGGCACAGAAACCCGCAGCCACCCAGGAGTTCAGAGTTGTCGGTGTGTCCCCAACAAGCCACAGCCAGCTTCAAACCCCAGCCACAGCTAAAGCCAAAAGGGGCGGCGCAGGAGGATGCTCTGGGGCAGGAGGAAGTGTAAGCGGGTGTGCTGCTGCAGCAAGAACCGGCCTCCCTGCACAGCAGCTGCAATAAACGCCCTTTGGGGCCTGGATTCCCTGCCTCCACCCAGCCAAATAGCAGAGCCACCTTTCCACACGGGACTAGCCATGTGGGGAGCCTCCATTGTGGGTGAGACACATTACAGGGGCTGAGCGCCCACCCTCAGAAAATCACGTCTCTTTTTCCAGCCGCCTCCTGTCATGCTTCCTGTGCTGGGACTGGAGGACAGGGCTCAGAGCCAGCTCCCCCGCCAGAGCAGACTAAGGGAGGTGGAGGAGGGACAGGATTGGGCCCACTTTCTGATTGGGACACATGGCAGGAGCCTGTGAGGCAGGGTGAAGGAAGCGGAGGAGAAAGTAGCTGCTTCCAAAGCGGGGGGAAGCATGAACGCACCCAGGGAGGAGGGGGCAGTGACAGGAATGGGGGCACACAGCCTGTTCTCCCACCCAGACTGCGCCAGGGCTCTCAGCTTCCCCCACGGCCCAGCAGGAACAGGGGCTTCTAATTCTGCCCGGGACGTGACATTCTGGAGCAGAACGTGACCCTCCTTCCAAATCCAGCACATGTTCAAATTCCAGTTTTATCCGGATTCCTCCTGCTGCTGCCTCTCATTGGGCTCTTCCCCCAGCCAGCGCTGTGCGTTGCTGGGAACAGGGGAATAAGGACATCTGTTTGGAAGGCGAGGCGGATACGCCGTGCCAGGAGAATTGCGATCTGCTCTGTGTACTCCTTGCTATTGCTACAGACACAAAGGAAGGGGTTATTAAGACGACGTGCCAAATTGTTATCACTTGGCTTTAAGAATTTAATTCCTTGCAAAATTACAAGTAATTAAAGATCAAAGGCGAGATACTGTTTGTGACTGCCAGGGGTTATTTTCAGCTCAAACTTGATGATTTGCCTGTGGCTATAAGGAAGATGCTTCTAAAGAAGATGTAATTACAAACTAATAACCGATAAACTAGGCCTTCCCAAGCTTAGGAACCTGTTTTTTAAACTCTGCAGGCTCCCTCCCAGGCATCCCAACCCCCCTTGGCTTAATAGTGCTCCTAGAGAAGTGGGTCGTTTGTGTGGGTGGGTGCGGGGGGGGGGACGGATCTGGAGGGCAGAGCTCACTGGGGTGCACCTGCAGGAAGCGGCTGCTAAGGGGCTGGAGGAGGCAGCAGTTCTGGCGAGCTCCTAAACTCCGCAGGAATAGAGAGTTGCACTCCTGGAGAGCTCAGAAATTTCACTTGAGCCAGCCCCCTGTGAGCTCTGACACAGCCCAGCCCCCGGAGGCAGGTCAAGGGACAGAGAAGCTTCATACAGTAACTCCTCGCTTAGCGCTGTCGTTCTGTTCCTGAAAAATGCGACTTTAAGCGAAACAATGTTAAATGAATCCAATTTCCCCATAAGAATTCATGTAAATGGGGGGGTTAGGTTCCAGGGAAATTTTTTTCACGAGACAAAAGACTATATTATATACATATATATACACACACAGTATAAGTTTTAAACAAACAATTTAATACTGTACACAGCTATGATGATTTTGAAGCTTGGTTGAGGTGGTGGAGTCAGAGGGTGGGATATTTCCCAGGGAATGCCTTACTGCTAAATGATGAACTAGCACTCGGCTGAGCCCTCAAGGGTTAACACGTTGTTGTTAATGTAGCCTCACACTCTACAAGGCAGCACGAATGGAGGGAGGGGAGACAACATGGCAGACAGAGACAGGGACACACACCCTGTGTGTGAGGGAGAGAGATGTGCATTGTCCCTTTAAGTACACTGACCCCACTCTATGTACATTGCCTTTTTAAGTAGACCAGGAAGTTGAGACAGCAGCTGCTGCCAGCAAGCTCCCTCCGTCCTGAGCCCTGTCCTGCCCCCCCCACCCCGCTCTATGGAAATGGGGTGAGCAGGGGTGAGCAGGACACCCTCATATTAGCTCCCCTCTCCCCCCACACACACAGAAAGCAGGAGGCTCCAGGGAGCAGCTCCAAGGCAGAGGGCAGGAGCAGCACATGGCAGTGGGGGGAGGGACAGCTGAACTGCCAACAATTGATAGCCTGCTGGGCGGCTGCCGCACAGGGAACTTAGGGGAGTGGGGAGCTGATGGGGGGCTGCTGGTCCACCCTGGTTCCAAGCCCCCACCAGCTAGCTCCAGTGGGCTTCTCTTCCTGCAAGCAGTGGACAAAGCAGGCGGCTGCCAAACGTTATAAGGGAGCATTGCACAACTTTAAACGAGCATGTTCCCTAATTGATCAGCAACGTAACAACGAAACAACGTTACCCGGGACGACTTTAAGTGAGGAGTTCCTGTACAACAAGTGAGAGAAGATGTCACAAAAGAAGGACCTCCCTGAATCAAGGAGAACCATCCGAGTCCCACCCAAAGCAGCCCCACATTACTCCTCTGGCCACTGACCAGACTCAGGACTTTGGCGAGCAATGGCTGGGGCCAGAGAGGACACTGCACTTCCACTGGAGCGGCCGTTGCAAGCTGGGAGGCCAGCAAGCATCTCTCTGCAGTTCTGTCGGGCTGTGAGGGACTAAAGCCATGGGTGTTTGCTGGCCCCAGAGGGAAATGAGCGGTGGGATCCCTGTCCTGTTCTCTGTCCAGCCCTACAACAGAAGCTGCTTTGCCCACTTATTGACAGTCATAACGGCAGGGCCAAGGACCAACTAGGCCACAAAGAACGGGGCCCCCATCAGCCCCCTCCCATGGCAGGGGAGGTGGGGAGGGCAGCTCCCACAGCCGAGCCCGGCTGCACCTGCTCTGGGGTTAGATAATGGACTCAGTCCCCAGGGCTGTCAATGCAGTGGAAGTGCTATCCTGCTCCTGGGAAAGCCAGCGTGGGGCTCAGGCTCTGGGCTGGCATTGGCTAGTCCCTTACCCTCGCTGCACTTGCAGATGAACGGCTTTCTCTCCTCACAGCTGGCATCCGTTAGAAGTCCGCTTGCTGTATCCAGCCACACACAATCCTTCAGGCCGCCGTCCGCCAGGTCGTCTCGTAAGTGCCTTCCCCAAAACATAAATGAACAGCAGGGCTGTTATTGTGTGGCAAGCCGTGGCCAGCGCCAGCTCTCGCCTAAGCCCTGGTTTGCTTGTCATGCCCCCTACGCCCAGCGCTGCTCACCACCCCTTCCTTTCACAGCCTAGCTCCCCTGGCCTGCTCAGAGGTGCTTCTCTTCGGGTGGGAAGGTGGGAACTCCCAGGAGGCCCTGGCGCAGACCTGCCCTTACAGAGAGAAGTTGGGTTACGCTGTGTCTGATGCTCCCTGCAGCACAGTTGAAACCTGTGGCAAAAACACATCTCTGCAAGGAGCAACCGAGGAACCAGGCAGCACCCTGCGCTCCCGGCTAGAGAGGCCTGCGGCCTGCTTTGCTGGAGCAGCTTGCTTAAGTAGTGACTGGGGGGGGCCATCTAGTGGCCACATTGTGAACTGTCACTTTAAAGGAGGTAGGGCAGTGGTTCTCAAACCTTTGTACTGGTGACCCCTTTCACACAGCAAGCCTCTGAGTGCGACCCCCCTTATAAATTAAAAACACTTTTTTATATATTTAACCCCATTATAAATGCTGGATGCAAAGCGGGGCTTGGGGTTGAGGCTGACAGCTCGCGACCCCCCATGTAATAACTTCGTGACCCCCTGAGGGGTCCCGACCCCCAGTTTGAGAACCCCGAAGTAGGGCCTTTGGATGAAGCTCTCTGTTCAGTCAGATTCCAATGCCAGAAACTACCACTGTGATCAGCTACTCTGCCCTTCCTGCATAGCACTGGCTGGCGCGCCGCCCCCAAATAATCCCTCGAGCAGAGCTTTCAGAAGAACATCCAGTGATGATAAATCCACCACGCTTTCCTGGGAAATTCTCCTGGGAAAAAGGGAGGCTGCGTTGCACTGTATGTCAAGAATGTATGCAACACACACACTCACACAGCGTGGACCTTTGTCCCCCTCTAGTGGCTAGACCACATATAGCGCTTTAGGACTCTGCCCCTGCTCTGAGCTACCATCAACAGCTCTTTCGTTCAAGTGGCAGAAACTGGTGCTTTTGGATCTAGAGATCTCAGGTTCATTTCCTGCAGGTGTCCCAAACAGGGCTACGCTGCCTCGAACCACCAGACCACTCAGCTCCCAGAGCCAGGCCCAGAACGCAGGAATCCTGACACCCAGTGTTTTAGTGCTGGCTCACAAATAGCAGCTCCCCGCAGAGGACAAGAGCAGGCCTCTCCCAACGGTTCCTCCTCTAGCTGCAGTGGGTGGAGATCTGGGCTGCGTATCTGGAGGTTATATGTTCAAACTTGGCTAATGGCCTGTGTGGGGCAAGACCACTGCTTGTGGGTGAAGAGAGCAGAAGACTCGACCTGTGTGAGCGCCACATAGGTCAGAGATTGATCGAACTGTCGTCTCTCTCCAGCACACAACTTCGCTCTTCTCGGTGGCACATCAGCACTATGGGGGGCTGGCTGCCTCAGGGTGTTGCTAATGAGCTACAGAGCCTTCCACCTGTAGGGGATGTGTGGGAATCCAGCCCAGATCACAGAGATGAACAGATCGTCCCACCCAGTGGGCATTTGGTGGCCCCTAGCTGGGACGTTTGCTGGGTCTCAGTCCCAGCTCCCATGTCACTAACAGACGGCAAGAGCTTAGCAGCAGTTCACAAAGGAGGGGAGACGTTAGCCCATCTGATGGCTGGGCCCAACATTCAGAGACAGAAACCCCCATGCTTCAGTGCAAGAGGCAGAGCCCACTGCAGGGATTTAGGAAGAAACTTTTCTGATGGGAGGTTTACTCCGGAATTGCCCGGTGGAGGGTTTCAAACACCTTCCCTGTAGGAAGTGTCTTGTCCTGGCCACTGTCGGGGACAGCACACTGGACTAAATGGACCTGCTGATTCCTGTGTTCCTCTGCCTGGCCAAGACTCGTACAGGCCCTGCCATAACAGCTTTCACGTAACGTCCATGTCAAAAGTATCAGGAAAGCCAAGTGCTCACTCCGCGAGCTGCCTGGTGATGGGATCGCGTGTAGTCCACTGAAATACGGATTCATCCGTCTGATCATTCAGGCCTGTCCAGAAGGCACCCCTGAAGTTTGAACATACCCAGTCCTGGAAGGAAACGGGACAGTCTCAGGACTGGGGGGGCAAGACATCCTCTTACACTCCTGTGTAGGGTAACCAGACATCCCTTTTTTAAAGGGACAGTCCTGTATTTAAGCCCTCCTGCAAGGGTCCTGACTTTTTCTTTAAACCACGCAAATTGTGCCGCATTTTCTGTCTCCCCCATCAGTACTGGTGGGTCCTGCTGCTGGCCGGATCCTTGCTCGCCAGCCGTCCGCCCACCAGCCGTGAGTGGGGGGGTCCAAGGGCTGACATTGGGTGTGGGTGTGCAAGGCTGGTGGTGGGGCGAAGATGCAGCACTCGGGACCGGCCGCTCCCCCTGCTGGTTTGTCAGCGCAGCCCCCACTGGGTGCTGAGAGCTGCACCAACTGGTGAACGCGGATAGGCGCCAGCCAGTGTTGGACATGCATCCGAAGAAGTGGGTATTCACCCACGAAAGCTCATGCTCCAATACGTCTGTTAGTCTATAAGGTGCCATAGGACTCTTTGCTGCTTTTACAGATCCAGACTAACACGGCTACCCCTCTGATACTTGACAGACAGTTAAGTGTCGCCTCTCCTGCCCCCCGTCTGCCCTTTACATGCTCCCCCTCTCTGTTCTCTCCCTGCTTTTCCCTTTCACAGCCCCCTCCCCCCGGGCTGTGCGGAGAACCAGCCCCTGGTCGGAGCCGACAGCCTGGCTGGCAGGTTCCTTCCTTCCCCCGCTGCCTTTGGCTGGGCCAGCGCCCCGGGAAAGCCCAGGACCCCCAGGACCCTCCAGCCCAGGCCGCTGGCCAGGAGGAGCCGAGCCCTGCACATGCCAAGGCTTAACCCCTTCCTGCCCACACTGTAGCCGGGGGACAGGAGGCAGCTGGGTTATGCTGGTGGCCAACAGCAGCCTGGAGGTGTTAGCTGCCTTTCGACACTGTGCAGGTAGGAAGGGACAAGCTGCTTCCAGCCACGCGGGGGGGGATGGGGGGGCAGAGTGAGGGGAGAAGAGAAGAGTTGAGCTCTGCAAAGACACGGGCCAGGTCACCCCTTCTTCCCCTCCCCCGTGGCTGAAAGCAGCTCCTGTCCCTTCCCTCCCACACAGCGACGAAAGGCTGCTGCTGGCCGCATTCTGGTGTGAACCCTGACAGAAATCGGGGGTGGGGGCGCCCTGTGTGCCCCCACCCATGTTGCCTCGGGAAGACACAGCGCCAGGTACCAGGAGAGGCGGGTCCATCCCGGGGCCCAGCCAGGCATGGAGGGTGGAGAATGCTGGGCAGGGAGAGTCGGGTTGGTCAGCTACCCACTCCCTTGTGTGAGAGAGGTGGACCGGAGTGTGTGTGTGTCACCTCTCCCCGTGCAGGGGTGGGGGAGGGGTGTGTGTCACCTCTCCCCGTGCAGGGGCGGGGTAGGGGTGTGTGTGTCACCTCTCCCAGTGCAGGGGTGGGGTAGGGGTGTGTGTATCACCTCTCCCCGTGTGGGGGCCAGGGCCGGCTTTAAGCCGATTCGGCCGATTCCCCGGAATGGGGCCCAGCGCCTAAGAGGGCCCCGCAACGTCCGGGGCTGCCGGCGGAGCAGGGGAAAAAAAAAAAAAAAAAAAAAAAAAAAAAGCTGCGTCCTGCTTCTCCCCCCTCCCTTAAGCGCTTGCGCCGCCATACAGCTGATCAGCGCAAGCCTGGGAGAGAGGGGTGAGGAGGAGGAATGCGGCGTGCTTGGGAAAGAGGCGGGGCCAGGGTGGGGATTTGGGGAGGGATCCAATGGGGCAGGGCGGGGGCGGGGTGGGGGGGGGGGGGCACGAGACAATTCGCGTCCTGGCGTGGGGCCCTGCACCTGCTAAAGCCGGTGATAGGAGTGTGTGTCACCTCTCCCTGTGCGGGCGCGGGGTAGGGGTGTGTGTCACCTCTCTCCCTGTGAACTCTAAAGCCTTAAAGATAAGAAGGTAAATAAAAAGAATCCAACTACCCAGTATTTCTTTTTGCCGGGGGCTTAGGCAACTTGACGTTAATTTGAACGTTTGTACTGCACAGTTCTGACCGATTGCTGTTGAACTCGCTTGAATACAAGTAATTTTACCGGGTGTCCCGTATTTAGCACAGGGAAATTTGGTCACCCAGCTCCTGCGCCACATTTCAAACAGTTGGGCCTAGAGATCACCAGCAATGCTGAGCCCCTGCAGCTCAGGGGAAGCTCAGCATCTCTGCATCTGGATGCCTGACGTTAGGCAGCCCAGTGTGAAGACAGCGACCTGTGTGAGAGATGGGGGGCTTGTTTCCTACACACACAGTTAAAATCAGCCTATTCCGCCCCCTTCCTGTACTTCACACCCTGGTCTACGTCCTCCGGCTCCTCTTGGTTTCTGCGTTAGGACTCTGCCTGCTCAGGGAGCTGGGCAGCTGGGTTCGATGGCCCCCAGATTAGAGCCCTGTTCCAGCAGCAGGGCCGGGAGCCCTGCCCCACCTCATGTCCTCTCGGAGGCCTGAGGCGTGTGCTAGTCCAGTGGGTCTCTGGCGCTCTGCTGGGTTGGGCTCTCTGGTTCTCACCTTCTCCTGGCGCGAGGTCAGATACAGCAGCTCTGTCTGTCGGAACTGCCGACACACTTGCAGCCCCTCCTGCCAGGTGCTGCCGGCCAAGGACGAGTCCCGGTAGTAGCAGCTACCATTCCAGTGTCTCCAGCCAGGCTCCGTGGGGCAGCGGCTCCAGGGAACTGTCTCAGAAACAAGGGCTCAGGATCATCTCCATGACTGCGAGTCACTCATGGAACAGCATTGGAGTGTCCCAGCAGGCACAGCACTCAGCAGCGGGGGGCGGGGGGGAGGGAGGAAATGATCAGGAAGAACCACAGAACCCCCCACTCAGTCCAAACCCAAACATGACCCATCTCTGGGCCCAGCCTGCCTCTCAGGGCAGACACGCACACACGCGTCCCTGGGCTAATGGCCATGCAGTCCTTACCCACGCTCACCCCTTTGGGCTTTTCAACTCACGTTCCCACTTTAAATTTTCTATTTACTTACCCAGATGGGGGCTGGGCTATAGCGCACCATGCTATTCTAGCACAGTCCCACAAACACGCCATGGCAAACAGCATACTGGGCTGGGCTGGGCTGTCTGCGCCACAGGGGCAGGGCCGGGCCGGGCTGTGTCTGCCAGAGGGGGCTGGGCCGGGCCGGGCTTCGTCTGCCACAGGGGGCTGGGCCGGGCCGGGCTGTGTCTGCCATGGCGTGCCGGGCCAGGCTGCGTCTGCCATGGTGTGCCGGGCTGGGCTAGGACCCTAGCCTACTTTCTCAGTATTCAACCCTGACCTGCTTTGCTTCTTGCTTCCTGCCACCGTCTAAGCTGTGTCTGCTCTCTCACTTGTCCTGCTCCGGAGACCTGTGCCCATGTACCCAGAGCAGTGGGGGCCCCTGGCTCGTAAGCACACACTGGAGGTGCTCACCAAGCGTGGCGTGAGGTGTCCCTCTGCCACAGACTCCTGTCGTCCCTCTCGGGAAGTGAGCTCCACCCCTGGTGGCACCTCACTGAGCTGAGATCTTCCCACAGTTGTAACTGAACTTTCCTTGGCCCAGGCTTTGTCTGAGCCCGCAGGTGGGCAGCTGGTTGTCCTCCTTTGTATGTCAGAGGTCCCTGCCCCCAGCCCTGCCTCTGGCAGAGCGTTGGAAACCAAAACAGGCAACTCCAGTGAGCAAAAGTGCCAAGGAGCCAGAAGGAAGAGGGAACTGCCACCCCTGCCAGCGCTCTTCAGCCCCAGCAGCATCAGTCAGCCCGCAAACAGGGACCCCCTGGCCCAGCAGCAGTGTGCAGCATCTTCCCCAGGTGAAGGTCACGTAGCCAGCACAGGCTCTGGCCAGACCCAGGTGCCCACAGTGTGATTAGCCTGTAAGAACTGCCAGCATTCATGTCATCACGCCAGGGCAGCTAGGGCTGCAGTATGGGAGTCAGGACATCTGTACCCCGGCCAGCCATGCAGTAGCCCACAGGCCATGCTCTGAGCACAACGAACTGTTACCATGCGGAGCCTTCAGCCCACTCCCTGACAGGGGCCGGGGCACTCCCCCCCCCCATCCACAGAGCCAGCATTGGAGACTGGGGAGCTCCTCCCCCCCCGGCCCTTGGGGCTGGCACAGGAGACGAGGAGCTTCTCCCCGCCCGCCCTGCCCTCGGGTCTGGCACAGGAGACCAGGCATGCAGTATTTTCACAGCAGGTTTGGCAGCTGCTGAACGGTGAGTGTTACTGAGTCTGGCTCAGGGCTGCCCGGCTCCCTGGTCAGTGCCTGGTCCGTGTGTGGTGTCCCAGGCCGTCCCGAGGGTCTCAGCACTGAATTCTCCATTGGGGCAGCCTGGCAGGTACGTACCCTCCGCTCCTTCGCAGACCCAGGGCTTGAGTCCTGAACAGTTGGACACGGTAAGGCCAGAATCCCCCGGGGCTCCGATGCTCAGGCAGCCTCCCGGAAGGAGCGGCACATCGGCCAGCCTGAGGCGGAAACACAGGACGGTCTCTCCATCAGCAGCCAGGGCCTTGCAACACAGGACAATGCAGTGCAGGGCCCCTGCAGCTCACACCTCAGGCCAGGGGAACGCTCAGGAACCCCTCCCGTGGAAAGGGCCACAGCCTTAGCCCACTGGAGAGAGACGGGTACAGTGGGCACCTCCACCGGGGCAGGATGCACCGCACTTTGGGCCCACTGATGGGGGCAAGTAGCATGGAGGAGGGTTCAGGAGGTACCTCAGTCCCTGAAGAATGGAGAAGGGGGAGAAACGCCCCAGGCACCCGTCCCCATGGGCGGGGTGGGGAGGAGGAGAAACGCCCCAGGCATCCGGCCGCACGGGCGGGGTGGGGAGGGGGAGAAACGCCCCAGGCATCCGGCCGCACGGGCAGGGCGGGAAGGGGGAGAAATGCCCCAGGCGCCCGTCCCCATGGGTGGGGCGGGGGAGAAACGCCCCAGGCACCCAGCCCCACAGGTGAGGGAGCAAAGGGGGATGCCACCCCATTTGCCTGATCCCCCAGAGGAGTGCTGGACTCACCTACAGTCCCTCACAGTGCCCCGTACACAGGCCGTGCCAGCCGCTCTGTCTGCGAGGGTGGGCAGGTGAGGAGGACTGGCCGGAGGGAGGCCCAGGTCTCATTGCTGCATGACCAGGCACAGCTAGGGAGTGAGCACTGCCCCCTGAGCAGTAGCAGCCCCAGGTGTTACAGCCCCAAGGACAGCAGGCTGCGCTGAGCAGCTGGAGGGCAAACCCACCTGTCTGGGTGTGGGTATCCCCAGCACTCCCCTAGCAGGCCCATCTGGCACCGTCAGCTACACGCTCACCAGGGGGCAGCACCATCTGCGTGCTGAGCCACTGCCCACGTCCAGCTGCCGTCACCATCTAGGTCATTCAGCCCAGTCCAGCTGTCCCTCTGCACCATGGCTGTCACCCAGGCCTGTGGGGAGTCAGGACCTGGGTCAGTGCAGGGCACAGCTCCGCTCTCTGACTCAGCAGAGCTTAGGGGGATCTGGGGGGTGGTAAGTAGCCAAGGGCAGCCCAGAAGGAAGGAGACGTGTAGGGCGAGTCCTGGGGCAAGAGGCAGGGGGTGCAATTAGCCAGGAGGAGCTCACCCTGCCCCATGGCCCCATGGCAAGCTGGCATTCTGCTACCCTGCGCACATCCTGGGGGAGGATGCAGGGCACATGGAGTGTATCCAGACTTCCCATCCTGCCACTCAGTGACTGGAAAGGGGACAGCACAGGGAAGTGGCTGCACGTGTCCCTCTAGAGAGGGGACTACCCCCTGGAGCCCTCCCCATGGGGAGGGGTGCCCACTCTGCCCACTGCACTTGCTGGGCACATTGCTGCTATCCCTTCCCCCTTCCCTCCGAGCCAGCTCCAGCCAGGACATGCCCCATGTCACCCACAGGGTAGCGCCCAGCAGCCAGAGCCCATGGGCCCCTGTGCAGGGGAAGGACGCGCTCAGCCTCACAAGGAGGACAAGCCGAGAGCCAGAGGGGGGAGGCCCCTCCCGCCCCGTGGGCAGGGAGCAGGGGTGTGGCTGGGACTCTGGAGAGCCCCGTCCTACAGCGGCTTCTTCCCACCCAAGGAGCCCAGCTGCCCTCTCACCCCTTCCCTGTGCTGCTTCCCCACCCACAGGCACAGCTGCCCTGGCAGGGGAAATGCAAGGCGGCTCCGGGGCGTTTCAGTGACTGTCAGTGAGCAGAACCTGGGGAAAGGAGACCTGGGCCCAGGAGTTGCCTTCCTTCACACAGACAGACAGACAGAGAGAGCAGCCAGGGGTTGGAGTTAGGAAGGTGTGACGAACTGGGACTATTCTTGAAGTGGTCTGTGAATGCTGACAGGGGAGTGTGGCTAGGATGGTCTGCATCGGGGGATGGGAGACTGACCGAAGGAGAATACCTGAGCATGTAACATGAGAACCCAGGAAGGGGGAGAGGCGAGGTGACACCTTTGCCCGGGAAACTGAACAAAGGCCGTGGGAGGGGTCGCTGAAGGCAGAGTTTGAGAAGCTGGCTAGTGACCATGGCTGGGAGGCAGACGGGGCTCTGACCTCCCAGGGGGGCTAGGGTGCCTGGGGACCCCAAGATGGACCTAACTGGGGGGGTCCTGTTGTCTGCGCCTGCAAGACCTGTCTTGGACTGTATTCCTGTCGTCTAAATAAACCTTCTGCTTTACTGGCTGGCTGAGAGTCATGGTGAATCGCAGGACGCCGGGGGTGCAGGGCCCTGAGTCCCCTCACACTCCGTGACAGAAGGCTCCTCGGCTTCCTCCCTGCTTCCTAATCTGTTCTGCTCAGGGAGGGGCCCAGGCGTCCTGGCACAGCCCCCGTACCTTCTCCTCCAGGCTGTCGAGAGCCAGCAGCCCCATGCCTTCTCCAGAGGCACTGCAGGCTGCCTCAGCTTGCTGCCACGTCTTGGCATCGCTCTCTTCCACGTAGTAACAGTGTCCGTCCCAGTACCACCAGCCAGCTCCTCCAGGGCACCTCCCGCTCACGAGACCTGGTGAGGCAACAAGGAGACAGCCCTCACTCATCACCAGGGACATGCCCTTTGGCCAGGGCCTGCAGTCCTCGCCCACTGACTTGGCAGGGCCTCCCCATATACCACAGTCACACTGGGGGATCTCTGCGCTGTCAGGAGACAAAGAAACCAAGCGATCCGATCCCTGTGTTGGGGCCTGGCCAGGATGGCCTGTGGAAAGCTGGAAAGGAGGCTGGGGTGACAGAAACCATCCTGAACAGAGACTGGATCTTGCTGGGGTACGGTTTAGACATTGAGATGCGCATTGTCACTTGTATGTGCTTGTAACCGTCTCTGCCTTTATCCCTTTTCCTTGGTATCACCTGACCAGGCTCTTTGGTTAATAAACTTGTTTCGCTTTTACTATGAACCAGGTCAGTGCTGGGCTTGAGGGGAAGGGTGTATTTACCCAGGTACATTAATAAGCTGTGGCGCAGTGACTCTAACAGAGCAGCGAAGCTCCTATCTTCTGTGACTGCACCGTGGTACGGGCTGTGCCCTGCAGAGAAACAGGAGTTCACTGGCTGTTACCTGCTAGGCGAGGTCTGGGCCAGGAGGGCCTAGAGGAGTTTGCTGGGGAGGGAGACAGGCTGGTGTGGCAATCTAATGCCAGCAAAGCTCCCTCTTGCTGTGGCAGAGGGGTAACATGACGGCTCCGAGCTCGGGGTACTCCAGCAGTGTGTTACATACCCTTTCCCATGCAATGTTTCCTTCCCCCGGGGGGATCCCGATGCACCCATCGAGGGATGGGCAGGCATTGCAGGGTGTGGTGGTGCCGTCCCACGCCTCAGTACTGGCAGTGCATCCTGCACTGGGGCATGCCCTCACCAGTGCCACTGTGCAATCCAGGGAGGGTGAGGGCCAGGGGCTTGGCCTGCCTTTCCCAGACACTGGCTGCCAGCCGAATGTGCGCAGGAGACGAAGTAGTTCTGGGCAATACGGGAAGGAGCACAGCACACAGGCTGCAGGGAACAGAGCTGCCCCTGCACCATCGGCCACGGCTGCAGCCTGGCTGGCATCTACTCCAGGGTATCACTGAGGGTAAGAACCCCCCAGACTCACCCTGTGCCCCACAGAGCCAGATGGGTATGGGGTTCTCCTCTCAGTACTATGTTTTTAGGCTAAACCAAGTGGCGGGCAGGGGCTTGGGGCTGGTCACGCTGCCCTTCAGCTCAGCCCAGCTCCATTCATCTCCTCCCCGCTCCACGTTAATTGGGCTCCACCCCATCCTGCCCCAGGTAGCAGAATCTGGTGCATGTGCCTCCCATCAGAGCACTGCACACGCACCCAGCCCCACCCCGCCCGCACTGGGAGGGGGGGGCTGCACCCTTACCATGTAGACAGGAAGGGCCAACCCTGCGGACACAGCTCAGGAGCCCTTCACAGCGGCCACTCAGGGGGTTACAGGTGCGAGTGCTGGGACAGGGCAGGCAACGCCTTGCACACCTCACGCCGGAATAGCCAGGGGAGCAGGCTGCAAAGACAAGTACACCAGTGGCGCAGCAGCACTGCGGAGTCCATCAGCGATAGGGCCCGATCCTGCTCTCGTTGGAGGCAGAGGGAGTTTCACCAATGCCTGTTGGAGCAGGAGCAGATCCTGCATGTTTCAACCTAGCCCGGGCCCAGCCCTGGAGAAGCTACACTAGGGACCCAGTCTGCCCCTTCCCCAGAGGGCTGGGCAGCACCTAGCAGGGCTTTCCAGACCCGGAGGAGCCCCAGCGAATGGGGCTTAGCCCCACGCAGGAGAAATGCCCAGCCACAGAGCAGCCCTGACTGCTGCCCCCGAGACCCACCCAGCAAAGCGGGGCCTGACTACCTGACTTGACGTAGAGGGTGGCACCAGAGCCAGGACTATCGACGAGCACCGTTCCGTTCACCGTGTAGTGGGCACCATGCAGCTGCGTCACCCCGGTGCAGTTCTCTCTCTGCAGGAAGCAGGAGTCCTTGGCTGCCCCCAGCGAAGCGTGTCTCTGCCACACAAAATCCTGGAAGGAAACGAGCAACTTCTCCTGAAGAGCCGGCAGCTCCACCTCTGCAAAGAGGGATCCCCGCAACCCTGTGAGTGACAGCCTCCCTGTGCACACCTGCCCCCCGCAGCAACAGCCTCCCTGCGCACACCCGCCCCCCGCAGCAACAGCCTCCCTGCGCACACCCGCCCCCTGCAGCAACAGCCTCCCTGCCCCCCCAACCCCCACTACTGGCAGCGACAGCCTCCCTGCCCACCTGCACCACAGGCAGGGACAGACTCCCTGCCCCTCCCCCTTCCCAGCCTTCACCACAGGCAGCAACAGCCTCCATGCCCCACCTCGGCCCCCACCACCAGCAGCTCCCTGGGAAGAATCAGGCCAAGGTCAGGCCCTGCCCCTTCCAGTTCTGCTCCCAGCACTCCCTGCACACGCCAGGCCAGGGGAATGGGGGAGGGCTGCATGGGAAGGCGAGCTGCTGGGGCTGCCGGGGGTTCCCCTGCATCGACTAGAGCTGGCTGAGGAGCTCTGGAGGCCAGGCAGACGAGCAGCCTCTGCGGGCACCATTCCAGCTGGGAGTCTCAAGTACCTGTACAGCCCCACAGATGCCACAGCAACGGCACGGAGAGAAACCGGGGGGTCAGGTGAACTAGAGGGGGCTGCTGTTCTCAGCCCCGAGGGCGGCCCAGCCCTGGCCCCTCGGTCCATGGGCAGGTGGGAGTTAGGAGCAGTAGGGGCTGGGTCCGTGCTCGGCTCCAGTCTCACAGCAGCGGCTGGGAGCTCTTGAGGGAGCTGGCTCAGCACTCAGGGCCGAGGCAGTGAGATTCTCAGCACTGGGCCATGCTGGAGCTCAGCCGAGAGGGGCAAATGGTTAGATTTCAAATCCATGGGCCTGACTCCTCTCAGTGCCACCCCCAGAACTCCCGTGGCTGCGGCGGGCAGACTCCTGATCTCCACCAGCATGAGAACCAGGCTCTCCGGCTCGGACAAGAGCTCCCCGGTAGCCAAGCGAGCAGGGAGCCTCCAGAAACACGCCGTCCCCCCTCCATGACCCAATGGCTGATTCGGCTGCAGGGCGGGAGCAGCGCTGCTCAGGTCCAGCAGGCCCTGAGCCCCTGACCCACAACAGGAGCCGCTATCAGTCCTGAGGCATCCCACCCAAGGGCCACCCAGAGGGGGGGCCAAGTGGGGCAATTTGCCCCAGACCCCGGGCCCTGCAGGGGCCCCCACGAGAATATAGTATTCTATAGTATTGCAACTTTTTTTTGTGGAAGGGCCCCCCAAAATTGCTTTGCCCCAGGCCCCCTGAATCCTCTGGGCAGCGCTGTCCCACCCTACCCCGGATCAGCCACCAAACAGCCCGAGCTGCTGAGAAAGGAAAGCAAGGGACGCCTCCCTGGCACGGCACGGCATGATAATAACTAATCGCCCCTCCCGGAGAGCCCCTTGCAGAGAATTGGCTCAGGTGTCTGGCAGCTGCTGAGACCGAGCCCTACTTCTCCTCAGGCAGCGACTGGCCGGCAAGTCTGAGCTGCCTCCGCTCTGCGCTGCAAGGCACGTGGAGGGCTCTGCTTGGCAATCCCTGCTAGGAGCCGGCGGCTGGAGCACGGGGAAATGGCCCACGCTCCCCCTGGGCTCCCTGACTCCCCACCCCCCTCACACAAGCAGAGAAAGCTCCTGCAGGGGAGGCCAATGCTCTGACCTTCTGCTCGCTGGCAAGACCAGAGGGAGCCCGAGGGACAGCGCTTCTCAGGACCTCGGCCTTCGGAAGGGGTCCCGCAGAGCTGAAAGAAGCAGAACAGGAGGATGCTGGGCTGAAGAAACCTTCCCCAGGGCTAACGCTGGAGAGGGGCTGGCCGCAGGGCCGGCACAGGACAGGGCCTTGAGCTGAGAAAGGCAGAGGCGAGGGCATCCGGGAGCTGCAGAACAGACTGCACTGACTGACTGACCTAGAATAGGAAGAGCCCAGAGCCACTCCTTCCATGCTCTGTCAAGGATGCGCCAGAGCTCCCTCGACCTGGAGGCCTTCCCTCTGCCCTGTCGCTGCCCCCCCTGCTAAGGGGGCGACTCTGACAAGTGTTACAAACCGCACCGTGTGCTCTGCACACTCTGGGAGGCTTGGCCCCAGGGCAGATCACAGGGGCTGCCGTGAGCACAGGCTGCATGGCCCGTTCCCCTGAGCAGTTCCCCCATGCTGGCCAGCTCCAGAGCAGGGGGTGGTTGGGACCCCACAGACAGAGGGGCCCTGTCCTGGAGGTACTGCAGGGATTTTCTGCCCTTGCAGAGTGCAGGAGCAGCAGAGAAACAAACTATCACTTCTCTGGGTCCGTATCACCCAGGAAGCCCTCTCCTGTGCCCTCCTCCCTTGGCCCCCAGGGGCCATGCATTCATCACTGCACATGACTCCATGTAACGTACACCAGACGCTTCCTAGCATTCTCTGCAACCCAGGAAATGTTCATATGGACTCCAGACAAACTCAGCCGGGAGACAGGATCTCTAGCAGCCAACCCACGCAGAACAGGACCTCTCTGTCCTGGGATGTGGGTCCACATCAGACATACCTCTCCAACCACCATCAGCTCCAGATCCAAGGTTTAGTAAGTGTCTCCTTACCTGGTCTGGGGCGGGCCTGATCTCCAGGACTTCAGCAGCCAGATACCTCCTGCAAATGGGCTCCACTTCACGCTGACTGCCCTTGTGTTCCAGCAACACACAGGATCCATGCTTGAACACCCAGCCGGCGAAGGGAGGACATTTCAGAGAGATGTATGCTGCCAAAGAACGGGAGTGCCTAGTCACCGTCACAGGCAGAGGGGCAGTAACAAAGCTGTGCAGATGACGCAGGACAGAAGGGCACTAGGGCGCCGCTGTAAGGAACAAGGCAGTGACGACGTTTACCAGTGACTCCCTACCACCGTGCTGTCCCTGACCAAGGCTCGTCCTGCCATCATGACACTCAGAGGACACATTGGGCGTTCCATGTCCTGGGACAGAGCTACTGGGTGCCCCGAGGGCGGTGGGGGAGCTGGGGCATTTCAGGAGAAAACAGATGATCAGTGTGATGAACAGAGCAATACTGGACTGGGGAGGCCCTGCCCCTCCACAGGTGCAATGCATGGTCCCAGTGGAGGAATAGTTCGACAGGACCGGGGTAGCCCAGGAGAAGGGGGACTGGGATGTTCTAATCCCAGGCAGCGTAGAGGATACACTGAGGGAGAAGAGCCCCTAAGAGAGGAGGGGCGTAGTCAGCTTTGCAGTGAACTGGCTGGTCAGACAGGCCAGGCGCTGAGGCAAGGGCACCAGCAGACTCTGCTCCGCACACTACAGGCTCAGCTAACTTCATCTGGGTGAAAGTCCATCCCCCGCTCATCTACACAGTGCAGTCGCACACCTTCCGTTACCCCAGCACAGCTGGGTGTAGTGCAGCCCCTGTGTCCACAGCACAGTCCCACACAGGCCCTGGCTCGGGTAGGAGCTCACGGGAACCTGCCAATGCTCACGGCGCTTTTCGTGTCAGCAGCAGAGGTGCTGTGAGATGCCCTGGCCTTCGCCTCTTTGCCCTCCCCACATAGCCAGTGCCTGGTGCCTGGGCAATGCCCCGAGTCCCTGCCCATCTCCCTCTCCCCCAGGCTGCTGACCTGCTGCCTGTGTGCCGGTGTGCTGTCTAGAGTACAACAGGCCATCACAGGTGCCTGTGAGGGGGTTGCAGCTCACTCCAGCGTCACACGCAGGACACTCGGCCTGACAGTCCTGCCCCGTATAGCCCGGAACACACCCTGCATTAGGAAACAGACACACGTGATCCAACCTCTTCCCGCTGAGGAATCCCCTGGCTGGGACCCTCCAGCTCCAACATCCTGGCGCACCGCTCCCTGGAGCTCCACGCAAGGGGGAGTGCCCCTCCGAGGCTTGGGGAGCAGAGACTATCTGTGGACTTGGATCCCCTGCAGGGCAATGGCACGTGCTGCAGCTACAGCACCCAGGCTCCCCGACACCTGTGGGGAAAACCTCCTGGCCCTGCTCTCAGAGGCAAGAAGGAACCGCTGCAGCCTGCAGGGAGCGGGGCAGGTGAATGGTTGCCCGGGTACCTGCTTTGATGTGCACAGCAGCTGCTGGGTCCATTGCTGGATCCTCCAGGTTCACGAAGCGTGTCCCATGATAGAGGTAGTACGAGCCCGCCGTGCTGACCACCGCGCTGCAGCCCCTGCCCAGGGAGGTGCATTGTGCTTTGGCGGCTGGCAGGGAGGAGAAGCTCCCCTCTGCAGACAAGCTTCCATAAAAGGATTTCCCAGAGACCTCCACGTAGAACCCTGCAGGTGCAGAGGAGCCCAGCGGGTGGTTATTCTAGGATCAGCCTCACACATTGGGCCGATCCTCCCAGAAGCAAAGCTGCTGTCCGTGCATCCAGGGTGGTAACGTGCCCAGCCTGTCCGCCCTGCGCTGCCCCTGCACACAACAGCACTCGTTGCTCTGCACCACAATGAGCAGTGGCAGAATGAACCAGGCACACCCAATGATTATGGCACTGCAGCCCCTGGATCCGCCAACAATAAAAACACCCACCCCAGACTGGACATCCAGGCTCCTTTCCAGAAGCCTGGCAGATGGCTCTACAGATTCTTACTGTTCCTCTGCGGGGTCTGACACACCCAGCGGTGAGGTCTCTGGCATGGCTCCTCCTTCAGGAAGCCAGACGGCAGCAGCAGGACACAGACCATTTCACTAGGAACCTCTGCGGGGAGAATCCAGCTGGAACCAGAGAGTGGTGGAGAAGCATCAGTGAGGAGCAGCATGGTGGGGTGGCGGAGTGCCACACCCCACAGCACGCACTAGAGGGGTCACTTCCAGGGCACGGGGCTCAGATTAGCCACATAAACACCAAATTCACCAGTAAGAAAGACCTGGCGCTGCGACTGCGTGGCTCACAAGGGCTTACGGCTAAGAACTTGGAATGGCCTCTAGCCTGACGTGCACCACAGCTGAGCCCTGTCGCAGGCTTCTGAGCAAGGGGATGGAAGTCCCCATCCTCCCTTACACTTCTGCAGAGGTTGTGTGCAATGTCCAGCCATTGCATGTGCGTTCCTGAGCTCGGGGACAGCTGGCTTCCCATTGCCAGGGGCAAACTGCATGAGTCTCAGGGCTTCTTACCTTTGCAAATCCTTGTTAAAGGAGGTCCCATCGGCCCATTTGTGCAGAGAACCCCTGCGGACGCCATGTAAACCAGTCCAGACGCTCCAAGACAACTCCTCTTGCAACCAGCTCTAGGGTTAGCACAAGGCAGCTAGTTCTGTGTTCGACGAAGCACTGGACACCGATGCCAAAGGCTAAAGACATCTCAGCATCTGCTCACCTAGCACAGTCCCCTCTAGCTACAAATGCAATTGCCTGAACACTGACATCCAAGACAGCAGCAAGGATGAGATGTTAACCCTCTGAGCGCCATGTCTGTGTGTTGGGGAGGGAGGGGCAGAGGAAGGATATGTTTCCCGTGACACAAACACCTCCATCGAGAGGGAACACATCAGACCTATGTCCCAAAAGCACCAACACATCTGCAGAGACACTCATGTTATGGAGAAATCCTGACGCAGAGAACTAAGCACCACCTTACCACACCCTTCAGCCATTGCTCAGCCTCCGGGGAATGGTTAGCACTGGAGAGACTCCACTCTAAGGAATCTTGGTTTCAAGATTCTTGGTTTCTTCATATGGAGACGGATGTTCAGGTCTGAACTCTTGGGGAAGCCAAGGGGAAGAGCAATGAGCAGTGGGAAAGTAAAGCCAAAATTCTCATGGCTATCCCACGGGCAAAG